TCTCTCTCTCTCTCTCTCTCTCTCTATATATATATATATATATATATATATATATATATATATATATATAATTAGAGTATCTTTAATGGTTGTTTGAAGATGACTTGGAAAAGGGTTAACCGTTAGAGTTAATGACTTAAATATGACTTTTTGAAGACACGGATGCGAGAGACAAAGAAAGAGGAAAAATTGATTATAGCGGGACTAAGACTTTTATTTATTTATTTTTATTTTGTTCAAGTCTTTTACGTTATTTGATTGATGCTTCTAGAAAAGTTGAATAAAATATTAATATATACTTTAGAGACCTATTTTATTAACCTCTAAATATAAAGGCCTACATTTTGGACCTCCATTTATTTTTAGTGTTGGGTTGATGATGAAAACACATTTATTTTTGTATTTTTTTAAATCCAAATCTCTCAAAATCAATCATGCAAACCAAATGCACCATAGGTCTCATTTGGTTTGACAGAATGGTCTTAAAGAGATTTGGATTTTGAGAGATTTGAAAGAATTTAAAATTTTTGGTACGTTTGGTTTGATGGATTTGGAATGGAATGAAATTTCATTTTTTAGAAATAATTTATAAAGACAAATTATAAATAATTACATTACTTTTTTTATCAATGAATTATTAGAAAACAAGTGTTTTTTAACATATTTTAAAATTTAAAACATTATTACATAGAAATCCTAAGAAATCACATGAAATCCCAACCACCCATTGGGATTTCAAAATCCTATGTTCAAGAGATTTCAAATCCGAACAATCCTGCAAACCAAACACGGGATTGGAATGTATTTGAAATCCAAATCCATTTCATTCCTACAAACCACACGGACCTTAAAAACCTGTAAACCCACCCATACGAATATATAAAAAGACTCAAATGAGAATGATAAAAATGTTAAGAATTTAAGAATACATCTCAACCGAAAGATAATTTGATCATACATTATATCAATGGGTCGTTTATCAAACACTTATTTCGGTAAACGCTTACCAAGTCCATTTATCAACGAATGAACACGGCAATGACCAAGAATCTTATCCGGTAAGAGCAAATGCAATGACTGAGAGTTTTATCCGGAAGTGAGGACAACGACTCTTACCACGGTTAGCGCTTACTGGGTAAATTGTTGCATACAACATCATTTTAGTGGATTAAAATATTACGCGATAAATAAGTGATAGTGTTGAATTTTGCCGGTAAACGTTTGGTAAACGGCCTATAAGAGACCATTTACCAAACACTTGCCTACAAGAGTCACCACTTTTGCTTGACTTATCTGGTGTGACATTATCAGCCATCAAAATGAATTGCTGATAAACATCCTTTTATCATGTAAACATTTACCGAATAAGAGACTCTTCTTTCGCTTACATGATAAGATTTTCAATCTTACTATATACCTTACCAAATAAAATTCTCGATCATCGTCATACTCAACCATTTACCAGATCATAAACTGTCCCTAAAAAGACAAACATTAATATATCTTTTTAAAGTATATAATATTTATATACGATAAATATAACAAAAATGTAATTTATCAATAAAAACAAACTCCTTAGCACATCTTCAATCTAACTATTAAAAAACACTAAAAATAATAGGTCTACTAAACATGGAAAAAAAACATTAGAAGCATTTTTAATAATAAAATAATTGTAAGACCCAAATCACATTACATTACCGGATGAATATGGTAATGACCAAAAATCTTACCTAGTAAGAGCGAAACAAGGACCAAGAGTCTTACCCGGTAAGTTAGAGCAACGACTCTTACCATAGTACGTGTTTACCGAATAAACTGTTGCATACAATGCCGATTTGATGGACTAAAATCTTACCCGGTAAGTAAATGATGGTGTTAATTTTTGCCGGTAAACACTTACCGGATAAGTGTTGGGTAAACGGCCCCTTACTCATTAACTTACCCAAATTATACCGCATGTAAATTTTTATCAGTAATTGTTTAGATGTTAAAACTGCTAAACTCTTAAACTTTATTTTTATTTTGTTCAAGTCTTTTACATTATTTGATCATTAGGGATGGTGATGAACAAATCGGTCCGGCCCGGCCCGGGACCGTCGGAGGACCGGAATCGGGACCGGTATGCTTTTAGAAAAATTGAACAAAATATTAATATATATTTTAGAAGCCCACTCTATTGACCTCTAAATATAGAGTCACACATTTTGGGCCTCCATTAATTTTTAGTGTTTTAGTGTTGGGTTGGTGACGAAAGCATCTTTTATTTTTGTGTTTTCGGTGTTGGGTTGAAGATGGTCTTATAAAATAAACAAATAATTACACAAAAAAAAAAAAATTCAATCCAAATCCTACAAACCAAACATAATTTATAAATGAACGGAATTCAAATCCATTCCAAATCTTATAAACCAAACACATAACAGAATTTTAAATTCATTTCAATCTAAATTCCTCAAAATCAATCCTGCAAACCAAATGTAGGCTTTTAAACATAGGTCTCGTTTGGTTTGATGGAATGATTTTAAGAGATTTGGATTTTGTTGAAGGAATTGGAGAGATTTGAATTTGAAAGAATTTGGAATCTTTGGTATGTTTGGTTTGATGGATTTGGAATGGAATGAAATTCCATTTTTTAGAAATAATTTATAAAGACAAATTATAAAAATATGTGAGGGCGACGACTCTTACCACGGTTAGCGCTTACAGGTAAATTGTTGCATACGATACCATTTTAGTGGATTAAAATTTTACCCGGTAAGTAAGTGATTGTGTTAAGTTTTGCGAGTAAACGTTTGGTAAGCGGCCTATAAAAGATCATTTACCGAACGCTTACCTACAAGAGTCACCACTTTTGCTTAACTTATCAGGTGTGACATTATCGGCCATCAAAATGAGTTGCTGATAAACATTCTTTTATCATGTAAATATTTATTGAATAAGAGTTTTCTCTTTCACTTACATGATAAGATTTTCAATCTTACCATATACCTTACCGAATAAAATTCTCGATCATCGTCATACTCATCCATTTACCAGATCATAAACTGTCCCTAAGGTAGTGTTTGGTACGCAAACTGGATGAGACAGGACGGGACGGTACGGTACGGGACGGGACATGATTAATTGTCTGTCCTATGTTTGGTACGACTAGGACAGGACATGAAAAAATTATTAAAAATGATCATATTATCCCTAAATGTTGTTCAATGTTATTTTATTTATATAATGATTGTAAAATGACAACAAATCAACCAAAATATTGTCATTTTAACTTTAGTTCCATGTTGTTCCACTTTTTTTGGTGGAACAAGAAATATTAAGATTTGTCCTATTAAAATAGTCCCACCTTATCCCATGTTTTTTTTTTTGTCCATGACATGCCAAACATGAGACTATTTTTTTTGTCCCGTCCTATCCCATACAGTCTGCATACCAAACGTACCCTAAAAGAAACATTAATATTTTTTTTGAAATATATAATATTTATATACGGTAAATAAAATAAATAAATTTACGCACTCTCTCCATCTTTTGATGATATTTAAATTCTTGACTTTCTTAAAAGATCAAATATTCATATACCGCTGGTAAAGAAGGTTTGGTAACATTAAGGTCTCTTTCAAATATCCTCCTCCCTGTGCTTATCTGTTCAATATGATGCAAAAAATGGAACCTCTGCTCCTGCCTCCCCCACTTCAACCTTTACCCAAATTTTACCATCTTTTATTTCTGTAAATCTTTCATATGCTTTGATCTTTCTCTCTCTAAAACTTCCAACCTGCTCAATAAAGTCTCATAAATCTATATATTCTTTGATGCTTTCTTTGAGTTTTATTATTCCTTTCTAACACAAACAGTTTCCCCCTTTTGCTTGATTGATGGGGTTTTGGGTTTATATTCTCTGATTCTCTTGTCTCTTTCTTAATTCCCTTTTCAAGATTCTCAAAACCCTTAAAAGTTTTGGAAAAAAACCCCCAATTTTTTCAAAATCATACCTCCCCAGAACTCTTTTCTGGGGTTTGTTTGATCAGAATTCGATTAGAAGTGGTTCTTGTTTCGCCTTCAATCTTGGTCTGCAGTTCAATCAAACAAGATAGAAGAACAGTAATAAGGTTGGATTTCTTCAATCGTGTTCGATTTGTTTTCGTTCTATTTGTCTAATTTGACGTAAATCGAATTTGGTTTGATTGTGTGGGTATTTCACATATTATGATACTTTTGATGAACTTCAATTGACCTGAAAATAGTTGATCGTATATCTGATTGATTCTACTTTCTGGATTCTATTTAGGTTTAATCTGTGGCACCATTCGATTTCAATGGAGTTCTCGAAAGAGGGTTTTCGTTTTTGATTCTAATTGATATCGAATTGGATGGTTGAATAGAAATTGATCAATCGAAAAACTTCAGATTTTGCCCTAATTTCTCCAATGGCAGCCATTGATGTTGCTCCATATTCCCATAGTCCTGCCCACAAAGCCGTATTAACGAAAGATTACAGCAATCTTAGAAAAATCATTTCGGGTCTTCCACGGCTCTGTGACCCATCTGAAATTCGAACTGAATCCGACTCCATTGCAGAGGAAGCCAAGGCTGATGCCATCTCCGCCGTGATCGACCGCCGTGATGTACCGAACCGTGACACTCCGCTCCATTTGGCGGTCAAATTCAGCGATATTGCCGCCACTGAGATGCTCATGGTTGCCGGTGCCGATTGGAGCTTGCAAAACGAAGATGGTTGGAGTGCCCTCCAAGAAGCCATATGCAATCGCGAAGAACCCATTGCGAAAGTTATAATCCGACATTATCAGCCCACGGCTTGGGCTAAATGGTGTCGAAGATTGCCTCGATTGTTGGCAACGATGAGACGGATGCGCGATTTCTACATGGAGATGACGTTTCAGTTCGAAAGCTCGGTGATCCCGTTCATTTCCAGGATTGCCCCTTCGGATACGTACAAGATATGGAAGAGGGGTGCGAATTTGAGGGCAGATATGACTTTAGCCGGTTTCGATGGGTTTAGAATTCAACGAGCCAATCAAACGGTTTTGTTTCTCGGCGATGGTTCGGAGGATGGGAAGGTTCCTCCGGGTTCGCTTTGTATGATATCACATAAAGATAAGGAGGTTATGAACGCGTTGGATGGTGCGGGTGGGTTAGCCACGGATGAAGAGGTTCAGCAGGAGGTTCGAGCCATGTCTCAGACCAATATATTTAGGCCCGGGATTGACGTGACCCAAGCGGTTCTTTTGCCGCAGATGACGTGGCGGCGGCACGAGAAAACGGAGCTTGTTGGGGTTTGGAGGTCGAAAGTTTACGATATGCACAATGTGGTTGTAAGTATAAAGTCCCGACGGGTGCCAGGGGCTCGATCGGATGAGGAGTTATTTGCTTCTCGTAACGAAAATGAAACCGATAGCGAAGAACTTAACGACGTTTTGACGGATGAAGAGCGTAAGCAACTTGAAGCGGCGTTGAAGTTCGGTTCTCCCGATCTAAACAACGAGAACGAAAATGGGGTTATCGATCATCGGCATAGTTGTTGTGATCGACGAGATATCCCGATTGCGGATGGTTTTAATCATGAAAACGGTGATAATAAACAGGAAAAAGGAAAGAAAGGATGGTTTGATGGATGGCGGAAACGCGAAACGAAGAACGACGACTCACGAAAGGGCGCTCGAAGCCCGTCCACGAGTCATAGTCAAAGTCAATCTGTACCTGGAAGGCATTCGATCGAGATCGTTGCCAAGGGGGACGAGAATAGAAACGTAAAAGCCTCGAAGCCGTCTTCATCCACGAGTTCCATTAAGCGAAAAGATGGAGTCCGTGAGAGCGAGTATAAGAAAGGGTTGAGGCCGATTCTATGGCTTTCGCCTGACTTTCCGTTGCAGACCAACGAGTTCTTGCCGTTGCTCGATCTTCTCGCAAACAAAGTCAAGGCGATACGGAGATTACGAGAATTGCTTACCACAAAACTTCCGATGGGCACGTTTCCTGTTAAGGTATGCTTTCACTTTCGATATTTTGCAATTTTATTAAGGTTCGGTTAATGTTATGCAAGTATACCATCTCGAAATCAACCCGGTAGCAGTTCAGACAATGTTGTTTCACCATGTAGAAATGCAAAAGCCGAAAGGCCCGGACCGTGGGTTGAGAGAGAGCCCAATCCGCAGTCTGGCTTTCCAGGCCGGGCTTTCTGGGCTCTTTCGGGCTTAACCAGAGACCGTTCTTTAACAAGGCCTTGAAAAAAATTGGCCTAATCGGGCTTGAGCTCAGGCTTACTACGCCCGGGCTTTTCGGGCTTGGTTTTCTGTGCATCTCTATTGCAAAGCCGACTATTGGCTTCAACCAGTCGCATTTTGTGCTCGGAGGACTTGTCGAGTTTTTCGTGTGTCGATCCGTTTTGGCTAAGAACGATTGTACCGTTTCAGGTTGCCATTCCTGTGATCCCGACGATAAGGGTATTGGTTACTTTTACAAAATTCGAAGAACTACAGCCATTGGATGAATTCTCGACCCCACTTTCAAGTCCTACAGACGGAGACCGGAATATCCCGGCAACAGGAAGCTCGTCATCTTGGTTCCAATGGATCAAAGCTCCATATCAACAAGCGAGCTCTTCATCGAGCGCCTTAGAACAAGTTGAAGACCCCTTCGTGATCCCTGCCGACTACTCATGGATCACGGCCGAAGCAAAGAAGAAGAAAATGCAGGAGAAGAGTAAATCAAATAAATGAAAAACGAGTAACGGGTTTAGGAACACGGTGATTTCGTCAATATCGTTTCGATCGATCTTTACTAATTTACAGTAGTTTATGAACAAATTATTGTGGGGGGTATAAAGATTCAGACTTTGTGATTCTTGAATTGTTCTTGGTGGTTTCTTGCACCCTTTTATGGGATTTTAGAGGTTAGAATCTTGATGGTGCAAGAAACAAGTGAGATTTAACAATGACTTGAGGAGTATTATCCGGCTTATCAATGGAGTCCAGCCTTTTTTAAGTTCAGAGGTTCAAACCTCATCAAAGATAAAGAGTGAACACGAGTATTTGTCGTATATAAATATTATATACCTAAAAAATACAGATGAAATTTGGGGTTTGGCTCGAGTTTCTTGAACATTGGCTCATGTGGGCTCGACGGTGCGTTGTTTGTTCCTGCTCTCGTATCTTCAACATTGGCTTGTACAAGGTCGATTGTGCTTGGTAGGGATCAGGGACGGAACCGAGGTGGTGCATGTGTTGACACAGGCCACCGCTTCGTTCTTCCGTCTTGGTGTAAAAAATTATATGGTGGTGAAAAGTGTCACCATATCAATTTGTTGTGTGTCACTGTATATATTTTGGAACTACAATGAGGACACAAGTTCCCTTTGGTAGAGTTGATTTACAAGACTTTTCTTCGGCTCGAGATCTGCGTTTGAATCATGTGAATGTCATTTTTTTAGTTTTTAGCTTTTAATTTCAAATTTATTATGTTTTAGAAGAAAAAAATTGCAATAAAAGACTTAAACGTAGGTCCTTACATATGAAAAACAATGAACTAATTAACCGACTGATGATAATTTTGTGAAAAATATCCTTATATTTGTTTCTTATAGTCAAATGGTGGCTGAAGTGGTGCACCGTGGAAAATTAAGCTTAAAGAACAACCCCACAATAACGATTAACTTTCAAATATTTAAAACATTTTATTACATATGCATATCTTTTTATAGACGAAGGATCGTGTGAGAAGTGAAATTATGGTGAGAAACGTAAGAAAAGATCTAAACCCTTGAAAAAACTTTAATCTCATGCGCACCCATGAATTACGCTTTAGAAGGGAATAGATCCGATGCATCTCGGTGCACCTCATTAGTATTGATATTCAATTATGATTGATCTAATGGTGGAGATCTTTGTTTACGCTTCTCACCATAACAATCTTTTTCACCGGAACCCAACCCTCTTCCTATAAGCTTCGTTTGTTGTTTCATATGTATTATACCAAAATCATTATTGTGAAGGAACCACGTTTCGTAACTAAGAACACGTTTTGAAAGATCAATCGAACAAGATACTTTCAAAGTTTGATTGAACTCGGCAAAAGCAATTCCGTTTCTTATGTTGTGTTCTCGAAACCTTTTTTTTTCCCGAAGGAATCAAAGGTAAAGGATGGAAAAGAGAGGGAAGTAAAAGAACTCGTGTTCTGAAAAGTTTTTTACGAGAGAAAGAAAGGAAATTGATGAAAAATAATGATAAGTTTCCTCCCAAAACTTTCTTCCAAATGTGGGAGAAAAATAAAGGAAAGAAATTAATATTCATTCTAAAAATTACAAGATTACCGGACTTTTCATTATAAATGATATATTTTTAAAGGGTATATTTGTAAAAGTGAAACCTTTCCTTTCTTTCTCTCTTATTCAAGAATATACAAAAATTGTTTTCTTTGTTTTCCTTTCTTCACTTTCGAGAATACAAATAAAAAATCAGGGACCATTTACCCAAATGTTTACCCGGTAAGCGTTTACCAATAGAAGTCAACACTATGATTTATTTTTATGCGTAAGATTTTAGTACATCAAAACATATCGAATGCAACAATATATTGGGTAAGCGCTTATCTGGGTAAGAGTCGTCATCCTCACTTACCGCGTAAGACTGTCCATCCTTCTCATCACTCTTACCTGGTAAGATTCTTGGACATTCTCATGTTCATCCGATGAGGATGTTTAGGAAATTGTTCCAAGTTTCTATGCTTCTACACATCAAATATCAAAAATATGCTTAAATGTCGTATTCTCACAAAAATATACATATCGTTCATTTCCTGTTTAGAAATGCCTTCCTCGATTTCCTTCTGTATTTCATTAGAAATTAAACTACACAATACTATTTTCTTCTCCATGTTTTGAGATTTGGATTTTCAAATTGAATTTGATTTTTTGATTTTAACTACAATAATGGTCCCTTTGTTTTTATTGGGTGAAATACGACTTAACAGGCTCTTTTAACGACTGTTAGAAGCATGGACCAAATCTGGGCCTTTTTTCATACCATAATGGTAAAACTGTAATTTCAAAAGTGTAGGGACCAAAAGTGTTATGAATAATAAACCACAGGGACCAAATTTGTATTTTACTCTTATTTAAATTATAATCCAAATCAAAAGTAAGGGTAAAAAACGGCTAACCGATGGCGAAAGGTGACGAATAAAAAAGGCTGCTCCCTCATGCCCATTCAACTGATATAACTGAACCTAGACTTAAATGCGACCAAATTCATTATCCCTAACTTTTATCATCTCTCTCTCTCTCTCTCTCTCTCTCTACATTTCCCATTGCAAACCCCAAATTCTCAACTATTCAAGCTCTAGAGTGAGAATCAAGCATAAAGCCGCCATTGACGAAGGCTCTGTCTCAACCGTTTTCTGGAGAGAGAAAGAAGAAAACTCACAGAAATTATGAAGGGAGGAAAAGGAGAGAAGAATGAAGAAGCTATCGAATATCATGTGCTCCATAAACTTCCTTCTGGTGATAGTCCGTATGTCAGAGCCAAACATCTCCAGGTTCGTCCAGATCTGGTTTCGTTTTTTCCTAATTGTCGAGTTTTTTCCGTGAATTATCATCGTAACTGCTTGTTGTGGACTACGTGCGTATGAATTCTATCTGAATGTGTTTTGTCCTGTCTCGAACCTATGATTTTTCGTTGAAATCATCTAAAAACCAAAAAACTGAGTGATAAAGGAAAAACTGAAGATCCGATGAACGATTATTACATACTTGAAGATTCGATTATGGCGTCTGATCTGGTTATTTTGGTTAATTATAAGTGATCTTCAGTGTAAGACAACTGTGATTAATTATTGCACGAATTAAGTCGAGAAGAAATCAATCCATTACTATTTTGGGGTCAAACAATGATCGATTTGATCAGTTCTTGATTATTTTATGATAAATTATTTCCAACTTCTACAGTTTAAGGAAATTAAAATATTGTTTGTATTGATTGAGATCGATATGATTTGCTTTGCGGAGAAGCGTTCTTGAAATTGTTCAAGTCGTGTGTAGGGTCCGGAACTCCGGATCTTACGGTTTCCCTTTACCGGAATAATGGTGGTCAACTATTCGACCATTGAATTTGGTTAGTTAAGAGATTTTGGACTAATCGGAGAAATCTAAAATGCAAAAAAATAGTCCATGATCAATTTTTTTTACCCATAAATTGTTTTTTCTCTTTTCAAACGTATTAAAACTAGATGGGTACTTACGCAATGCAGCGAAATACATTTTGATTTTAATATTTTATTTTATTCTTTATCGTAGTCGATGTTATAATATGGTATTTAGAAAAAAACGATGTTTTTATTTTTGAACAAAACATAAATCTGAATATATCATAAAAATTTTATAAAAACGTATCGATACTAAAATCAAATTAACTATTTAAAATTCATATTTTTGTGTAATTTTTTAATTTAATTTAGGTTCAAGAACGAAATAATTTATATTTAGTTTAATAATGTAATTTTCTTATAAAGATAATAATTAATTA